TCATCTTCCAATTCTCCTGCAAGAGTCAAAATGAGACCATTGGTTAATAACTGTCTTCTTCTGACATAAAAATAATTAATTCTGAACACAGAGACATACCAATTCTTTGATAAAAACAATGATTTCAAGTCGTATTTTAAATTAAACTGAACAAAGTCAGGGTCCTATTGTTCTCTTAATTTCACTTCACGCACCTCTGAATACTAAAATATGGACATGCATACTGGTGCTCCAAAGCTACATTTTAATTGGCTAAGTGGGACTTTTTAATGATGTCATATTAACAATCGCGCCCCCCCACTCCCACCCCCAATGGGGCACAGCTGGAGCTTCATCAGTTAAAAAACACCACCACCAAAAGCCCTGCTACACACCAAAACTGTGGCTGAGGGCAGAAACTAACAGAAAAAGACAGACAGCCTGAAGATAGAAGGAGAAGAGAGTGTATTTGGGGAAAAAGAAGAAAGCCATCAGCTATCTCTTTCCCAGAAAGACCAAACTGTATTTTCAGCAACATTTTGTGTATTTCAGCATGCTTTCAATTTGTATTTTCCTCAACTACTAACTACTTTTCAAAGTATAAGGATACAGCTTTCCACTAAAAGTATTTTTAAAGGTAGTTTTCCTTTTCCTCTTGAAATAAAAAAATGGAGTCACACTTAAATAGCACTCAATTACAACTGTATGTGTACACCACAGAACTCTGTAAGGGTGCTCTCAGGGAACTAAGGGCCTCAAATACACCTGAGCAATTCATCACAGCTAACTAATGTGCATGCCATGTTGGGTCTTATAGCTATAATGAAGGAAGGGGAGAGAGTATTACATGTGGTTTTCATTTATATTATGCAAAAATGAAGTCTTCTTCCCAAAATATGATAGGTTTAAAAATATACCAACTATGCAAAGAGAATGAGAAGAGTTAAATGTATCAGAGAACGTAGAAAAAGGATCGCTCTTTCAAAAAGTGTTTAAACCTTATAAAAATTGAGTGGAAAAACTTAAACAACTAATAGTCTCGCAGCACCTTAGAGACTAACAAAACATGTAGATGGTATCATGAGCTTTCATGGGTACAACTCACTTCTTCAGATGAATGGAGTTATTGAAGGTCCAGTTTCTAAATAAATAGGGGATGGAGGGAAGAGAAGTAAAAAAGAAATAAGGGAAAAGAAATAGTCAATTAGAGTGTCCACGCTGCATGAAGCTGATAGAGAAGGTACTAATTGTTCTTAAGTACCCACTGTTAGTTTTTTTATGGCATTAGGATATGGAATGAAGCGGGTCATCCAGCCAATGTCTTTACTCATACCTCTCTTATAGGAGTGATTAAAACGGAAACGGTCAGACAAATTTAAACTGTGCCACTGACATTAGGATAGAGAAAACATACCTGAACTTCCTCTGAGGTCATGATTGTATTACCCACTATGCATCAATACTTTATTAATGTATTTATATGTAAATAAAATAACATTGAATATGTATGAAAAGACTTGACTTGGGAGTTAGCAGGAAGCACCTGTATTAATATCTGATACCCACATTCAGATGCACCATCATTCTAAACCTCATTAGTGTCGATACAATAATACTTATGTATCTA